CTAAGTACAGTGAATGAGTGAAATTCTCAGAAAATATTATAAATCATTTTATCGATTAGATTTTACGTCGCAGGTTCCAATTTTGCTAAATGCTATAGCTCAGGTCATATCAAATTAGACTGCATAACTTCAAGATTTATTCTTATTAAAATAAAGTTTACGACAAATAGAAAATAAATTACAAAAGGCAAAAAAAATGCTAAAATTACACTTAATTAAAAAATATGCTCTAAACCATCAATTTTGCACCATGAAATGACTGAAAAATGTATGATGGCAAGAAACAAACATTACTTTTGCACAGCAGTCTTATGGAACAAAAAAAGGTTTCATTTTTCAGACCATTTTTTAAAACAAATTTTTTTTTTAACTGGGGGGGGGGAGGGAGTGTCACTTTAACCATTGAATAACCCCACAGATAAAAGTCAAGGGGTTTTAAGTCAGGTGAGTGTGGAGCCCATTTAATGGTTTTGAAAGAGTTGAATGGTCCTGCACAAATAACATTTGTTCTACCAAGTCTAAGGTTTAAGATTCAAAAGAAACATCTGATCTACACTTTACTCCACTCATTTTGTTCACAACTCAGTTATTTCACACACAGTGCTTGAGTCTCTGGATCATGTTTAAGCTAACATTCAAAATTTTTCATGTTCTATTTTTTGAACCCCAGCTTCCTTATCAAGTTTTAACACATTGAGCTAATGGGAAGTAATTTAAACTTGACTTTATATTGCTATTAGTAAGTTCTTTGAATAAACTCTCAGTGTGAACATTGAGCATGGTGCAAAATGTCAAATGCTCTCCATTGTCAAGTGCACAATCTAAATTAAAACTTAAGTTCTTTCACCCTTACAGCACACTGTCAATATATATTGAACGGAACATATTCTGATTAAGCAGTATAGAAATTCCTGATGATTGATTTTTATTGAATTAAACATTAAAAATGTTGAACTCTCTTTTTACAGTGATGTCAAATATGACGTCATAATTAATTAAAATGGTAATTATTTTTAAAATTTTTGATATTGATAAAAACTTGAGTCCTTCTAGCATAATGTTATATAACACATTTTTTAAATGTTCCTGTTTGCATGTCAATAGATTTTGAGGAAAGAAAATGGTTGCATGTTTATATAACACCCATCTTATGTGAATGAGTGAAATTCTCAAATAAATATTATAAATCAAAGTATCAATAAGAAGCTGAACCATGTTTTGACGTCGCAGGTTCCAATCCCATTGCTAAATGCTTTAGACAGGTTACTCCTATGAACTGCATAAACCAAGATTCTGTGTCATTTTAGGTGTTAGCACAAAATGGATCTCATACTTCTTAAAGGCAATAAGTGCTGATACAAGTCTATATTTTGCAGCTAATACCATCCCAAGTGGTGGCACCATGAAATGACTGAAAAATGTATGATTAAGGCAAATAAACAAACATTAAACCATTACAGCAGTCTTATCAAACAAAAAAAGCAAACTTTCTATTATTACAATTTTTTTAAACAAATTTCTTTTGCAATTTAACTGAGCAATATTTGTCCTTTTTTGTCAGTAAAGTATGATATTAAATAATTAAGACTTTTTGAGAACATCTATTTATAGCGAGTCCAGAGAGCAGCACAAATCCCTGCCCATAATGCGAGCTCTTATGATAACACCTTGGCAAAAGAAGACTGTGACTTGCACATTGCTCCACACAATTTTTCCGCAGTATACTTTGGACCCACAGTGCTTAGCTTCTTTAACATGTTTAAGCTACATTCAAAATTCATTTCTATTTAATTTGAATTAGCTATCCTTACTCATGTTCACATGGAGCTAATGGGAAGTAATTTAACGAGCAGTGAATTCATTCAAATTAAACATTTGAATAAACTCTCAGTGTGAACATTGAGCATGGATGCACCAAATGTCAAATGCGGCTTGACAAGCACAATCTAAATTAAAACTAAATAAGTATCTGCCCTCACCCTTACAGTCACACTGTCAATATATAATTAGTTGAATATATTCTGTAACATTAAGTGCAGTTTGAATTATAGAGTATGATCACTATGATAGATAGTAGGACTGTTGAAATTACATCCTCAAATTTAAAAAAAATAAAATATAAAGCTGTGGGGATTTACAAGGCAAACAGAGAGCGTCTGAACTGTAAAACAGATAATATATCGGTGTGTCTGTGTATTTCTAATAACATCAATGTATGTCACTGTCATGTAATCAGTAGTGTAAATTTTAAGTAATAAAAATATTCTAACCTTCATTCCAATGGTCCAAGCCAATCATACATTAAAATGTCGCCGTCAGCTCTTTCATCACTCGATACAATTATCACTGGGAAATCCGAAGCAGAGTCAAGAGTGTTCATCCTTGTTAATGTGACAGTCAGAATTTCCTCGTAAACAATTCACACAAGATTCTTAGAATATATGAATCGGGATAATTCTGCTTAGAATAATGTTCCAGAGAAGTGACAAAGTACTTCGTAGCTGCAGATTAAATGAGTGTGCATGTCTACAAACGGATTCTTTGTGAGAAAATGTTCAACTTCACAAATCATTCTATTTTCAGTTTGTAAACCATGGCAAACATGTGTCCGACGTCGACTCGAAGGGGCACACTAAAAACGGGATATACTAGAGACCTGATATTTACCTGACGTTTTAATTTTTAATTAAATGGTAATATTGAGTATTTTAAATTACTTATGTACAGACTTTATGACTTCGAGGCATATGCTATACAAAAATTCAATTGTTTGGAACATTTACAGACAAATTTGAATCAGGTCAAATCAGTGTTTAGTACATCGCGTCTTTAGTACCTTCCTATTTCCCACAATGCCGCGCGTTGTTTACAAACAAGCGCGAAAAAATCCTCTAAACTAGGTACTAATTATTGTTGTGTACATTATCACATTTTAAAATTATTTGAATAAAAAGAAAACAAAGAAACACCGAATCAAAACTATATCTTTTAGATGCATCAACTAAAAATGTGCACATGTATGCAGTAAAGGCTTGGCTGGCTATAGTAGACAACTTGTTCCTGAAAGGTTTCTCACATACATGTACTTGTTTTATATAAAAAACAATTAAATATAGCTGGAAGTTTATTTCTTTTTATATCAAATGACAAGATTTTATAAGTTCGAAATTATTTCAGTCAAACTTTTTCATAATATACCAATATTTTTAGCTATCAGAAAAAACGTGTATGAGCTATTAACCCCTAATTATAGGGGCCAGCCCCTTTTTCATTAACCTAATATGAAAGCTCTCGTAATTATACACAATTTTTGTTCTATATTTCTTACCAAATTATTCTCGGTTCAAAAGTTATTACACAAAAAGTAGCAAAAATTCAAAGAAAAAAAATTACTAAAATTTGCCGTTTTATAGCTTCCAAACTTTAGGAAATCAGCTTATAATTTTATCGTTCTGCACATCTACAATGTATTGGCTACAAGTTCTCCAACTTTCGTGTAAATATCTTACGTCCTTCTTGAGATTTTTAGTGGAAACGAGACATCAAAAATTTTCAATTAAAGGGCAATAACTCACAATTAAAGGCATGCATCAAAAAATTGAAAACAGGTGTAAATAGGTTTAATTACAAGGTATCTAACCTGAAAGTTTCATAAAAATCAGTCCAAAGGTCTTTGAGAAATCGCCTGTCAAAAATCGAGCGGGAAAAAAAAAATAAAATAATAATAAGAAAAAAAAAAGGAAGCGGAAGACCCTAATAACTAGAGCAAAGCTCGTTTGCAAAGCAACGAGTGGGTCTTCCTTCCTAGCGATAAGCAAAAGATTAAATGTTTCTGTCTAGATTGTCAACTTTGCTAACATTCTCTTTTTCGATTTGTCTCAAAAACCCTTACTTGAATTCTTTAATTTGGTGTGAGCATGAGGTCTAAAGGGTACTCTCTCTAACAGCATTCTTGAAATCGTACCACAACAGTTTAACTTCCAATATTATGACTTTTGATATCGGATATATCATCTTTGTTGCAATTATGTTTGTGAAACGTGTCATACTACAGAAACATAAGTGTTTTGCTACATTACCATCTTAAAAATGGCTTTAAAATCATTTAATATACAATATAACTAGGTAAATAAAATAAACAAATTATATAATAATTCAAAAAATCCAAATGTATTTACAATAATGATGAACAATCTTCATTAGTTGCAATCAGTAAGTAGAACAATACTTTTATAATAAACGCACAGAAATGTGTTGTGTATGTTTCGAATTTGCAGCTTTCCACTAGCAACTGGTGGTACCTCAATAGGAGTGTAAAATTCTCTGAAAGGTATATTGTAAACATATTACATATGGCTGTGTATTCTTTTTTAGCGGCTTTGGCGGAATGCAGCAATCACTAAATCAAGTACAAAGCTAAAAGTCTTGTACATAAACATAAATAAGAATATCTACGCTAACTTATTCAAAAGTCAATTTCCACCAAATATTGTACAAGCTAAATATAATACATTTACAGCATTAAAGAAACAAATCTCTTTGAAGGTATTGCCCTGCATAAGAACAATTTGAATCCCCTACACTAAGGATGCTCTGTGCCAAGTTTCACTTTGGTTCTGGAAAATGATATTGTGAAATTTTAGACAATGATGATAATGGATAAAATTATGTTTTTAAAAAATTTACTGGTTCCTTTAGCTCAGATGGGCTAATAAGTATGCAACAGGCACAGTTTTGCAGTTGACATTGAAATGCGACTGGACATCTCTTCAATCTTGTTTTAGAAAACTACATGTACATGCCCTATGTACTGAATTCCTTGGAATCATACACATGTTTATGCCTTTAATTAGTTGTATGTGCCAAAATAACAATTTTTTTTTACATTATACTGTAAAAAATACACATACATGTATTACAAGATCTTCTATTCCTGCTGAAGACAGAGGATCTATCTTAATCATTAGAATAAGTAAGTCTAAACTTTGAAAGGGAAGACCTTAATAAAGAGGTCAACATGCTACACAAACAAAATATTATTATATTTAAAAATAACATTTATTCCAATGTAATTACTGGTACATGTATTTCTGTTACAAAAACTATTTCACTTGAAAAACTGAGAGCAATTGATATGTTCATATTTGTGGATTTATGTTGTCAAATCAAAATTTAAAAATGATACACAGTGTGTTTAAAAATTGTCTTCACAAACCAAAACTTGACTTATTTTCACTATGCTGTTTATTCCATGTCACATCCAAACAGATGATCTTCTGGCAAATCATGGTCATGCTTGGTATCAAAATTCAGTCTTCAGATGAGTCACACCTATCCAAAAGAAATTGAAATTTTTTAAATTTTTTAATTTATAAATTCTTTTATTATATAAATATTGCATGTAGTTGAGTAATTTTCAGGGGTTAAGCAATATTTATTATATTATACTGAATGTTTTACAAATACATATTACAGTGAACCGTTTCCGCGCATAAATTAAGCAATGTTGACTGTTGCAAGGGTGTGGCTTCATTATTCAGCGGGCAGTAGTTTTTTTATCAAATGAGAGATTTTGTCACATTTTCTGTGTATAATTTGTAAATTTTAATGTACTCTTTCATCAATTAAAAGAAGTTTACACCAATTAAGGCAGTCATTAATGCTATCCCCTAATAAGACAACATACAAGTGCAAAGTAATCATGCACTAGTGGGTTTAGGATAATGTGCTAGAGTATTTATGACAACATACTAGCACGAGGTGACAATGTGCTAGCATGTACGTCAGTGATAATATGCCAGCACACTGAATCCAACATGCAGTGAAGCTAACACTCAACAGATTGTTTAAAGTTGTGTTTGCATGATATTTTGTTTTGTGTTAACACAGCAGCGTGTTGTTTAAAGCTGCATTGGAGTGGCAGTCTGTTGAAATTAACATGCTAACACACTGCAACTTCACATCATTGGAACACCATAATTTTAAAACTGGCAAACCAATATCTTATGATTACTAACTAGGTAATTGCAACTGTAAATGCTGATTTCATGGTGACAATAATACCGGTAATTCACTGTATATCTGAGAACTGATCAATTATAATAAGGCGTGTCCAGATAGGGCCACTTGCTAAAGCTCAATAGCACTTTCATAAAAGCGTGCCATCTTACCGACACAAAAGACGCCATTAAGCTATCACACAGCTCGCCATCACAACACTGAAAAAGGCACTTGGGCGCACTAACACAAGTTGTGGCTAAGAAAAAGTAGAAATTGGTTTATAATTAAATACTTTAAACCCGAAAGTAGTCCAATGACCAATTTTGGCTTTGCTATTCTTCATAAGATGATTTTTAAAAAAAGAATTTTCCTATATATGCCTATGTAAAACACCATTGTAGCCCCGCCCTAAACCAAGGGTCATGATTTAAACAAACTGAATCTTCACTACCTGAAGATGCTTCAATACAAATATGATCAATTATGGCTTTGTTATTCTTGAAAGACAAAGAATTTTCCTATATATTTCTAATACAATTTCACAACACTACCTGAGGATGCTTCATAAATATGATCAATTATGGCTTTGTTATTCAAAGAAGATTTTTAAAGAATTTTCACACAACACACTTGTGGTCCCACCCCCGGGGGTCATGATTTGAACAAACTTGAATCTACACACCTAAAGATGCTAACACAAAGGCTTTGTTATTCTTGAGAAGATTTTTAAAGACGCTATATATTTCTACTAAAACTTTGGTCGGCCATTGTGGTCCCGCCCTACCCCGGGGATCATGATTTGAACAAGTTAACACAATAAATATGATCAATTATTGCTTTGTTATTCAAGAAAAGAAGATTTTTAAAGAATTTTCCTATATATTTCTATGTAAAAATTTGGTCGGCCATTGTGGCCCCGCCCTACCCCGGAGGTCATGATCAAACTTGAATCTGATACCGAAAGATGCATATAAATATGATCAATCACATTCTTGTTTTTAAAGAATTTTCCTATATATTTATATGTAAAAATTTGGTCGGCCATTGTGGCCCCGCCCTAACACTGGGGGTCATGTTTGAACACACAACACACTCTCCTGGCACAGTGGTTCTTGAGAAGAAGATTTTTAAAGAATTTTCCTACATATTTCACACAACACACTACCTGAGGATGTTTCCCGATAAGTTTCATCTTTCCTGGCACAGTTGTTCTTGAGAAGAAGATTTTTAAAACATACCACCAAATTTTCATTAATTCCCAATTATCTCCCCTTGAATGAGGGCGAGGCCCTTCATTTGAACAAACCTGAATGCCCTTCACCCAAGGATACTTTGTGGCAAATTTTGTTGAAATTGGCCCAGCGGTTCTTGAGAAGAAGATGAAAATGTGAAAAGTTTACAACAACGACAACAACGACGACAGACAGACAACGGACAAATTGTGATCAGAAAAGCTCACTTGAGCCTTTGGCTCAGGTGAGCTAAATACACTTTCGCACTAACACAAGTTCGCACCACACGCTGTCACACTAACACACAACACAATGTCACACTAATACAATTTCACACAACAAAATATCAGTAACACGAGTTCACACAACACACTATCATGCTAACACAATTCACAAACACGCTGTCTCGCTAACACAAGTTCACACAACACGCTGTCTCGCTAACACAAGTTTTACACAACACGCAGTCTCGCTAATACGAGTTCATACAACACACTGTCTAGCTAACACAAGTACACGCAACACACTGTCACGCTTAGATGAATTCACACAACACACTGTCACGCTAACATGAGTTTACACAACACGCAGTCTCACTGTTAACACGAGTTTACACAATACACTGTCACACGAGTTTACACAATACACTGTCACGCTAACACAAAGTCACAAAACAGGCTGTCTCACTATTCACAAACACAAGTTCGCACCAAATGCTGTTGCGATAACACACTGTCATCCTAATACCATTTCACACAACACACTGTCATTCTAATACCATTTCACACAACACACTGTCAGGCTAACACGAGTTCACACAACACACTGTCACGCTAACACGAATTCAAAACAGGCTGTCTCACTATTCACTAACACAAGTTCACACAAACGCTGTTGCGATAACACACTGTCATCCTAATACCATTTCACACAACAGACTGTCATCCTAATACATTTCACACAACACACTGTCAGGCTAACACGAGTTCACACAACACACTGTCACGCTAACACAAATTCAAAAAACACACAACATCGCTAACACGAGTTCACATAACACGCAGTCTGGCTAACACGAGTTCACACAATATTTTTCAATCTTGCTAACACGAGTTCACACAACACACTATCTCTCTAACACCAGTTCACACGACAAATTTTCAGGATATCAAGTTCACACAACACACTGTCACGCTAACACGAATTCACACAACATGCTGTCTCATTAATAAGAATACACACAACACGCTGTCTTGCTAACATGAGTTTACACAACACGCAGTCTCACTAACACGAGTTTACACAACACGAAGTCTCGCTAATACGAGTTCAATCAACACTCTGTCTAGCTAACACGAGTTTACACCACACACTGTCACACTTACACTTTATACATGATTTTACACAACACGCTGTCCTGCTAACACGAGTTTACGCAACACATCTTCAAGCTAACAAGAATTCACACAACCCACTGTCAGGCTAACACAATTAAGTTCACAAAACACACTGCCTTGCTAACACAAATTCATACAACACACTGTCTCGCTAACACAAGTTCACACAACACACTCACATTGCTGAGTTTAAAGTAAAGGTCTACCCTAATTTGAAGAGGTTTAAAACTAACATATCTCTATATTAGTAAAGAGCTTCAAATTTAAGACAAAAACATTTATGCAGTAATGTTCCTTAACATATGCATCTGGCATATAAAATGAATGAGACCTTAAAAACCTCACAGTACATGTTTACTTAGCTAATTAAAGTTCTAAATTGATGCTATTCAACAATATATATCAACATCTCTAAGTATGTGAATGAGTGAAATTCTCAAATAAATATTATAAATCAAAGTATCAATAAGAAGCTGAACCTTACGTCGCAGGTTCCAATCCCATTGCTAAATGCTTTAGACAGGTTACTCCTATGAGACTGCATAAACCAAGATTCTGTGTCACGGTAGGTGTTAGCACAAAATGGATCTCATACTTCTTAAAGGCAATAAGTGCTGAGTACAAGTCTATATTTGCAGCTAATACCATCCCAAGTGGTGGCACCATGAAATGACTGAAAAATGTATGATTAAGGCAAATAAACAAACCATTACAGCAGTCTTATCAAACAAAAAAGCAAACTTTCTATTATTACAATTTTTTTAAACAAATTTCTTTTGCAATTTAACTGAGCAATATTTGTCCTTTTTTGTCAGTAAAGTATGATATTAAATAATTAAGACTTTTTGAGAACATCTATTTATAGCGAGTCTAGACAGCAGCACAAATCCCTGCCCATAATGCGAGCTCTTATGATAACACCTTGGCAAAAGAAGATTGTGACTTGCACATTGCTCCACACAATTTTTCCGCAGTATACTTTGGACCCACAGTGCTTAGCTTAATTCTTTAACATGTTTAAGCTACATTCAAAATTCATTTCTATTTAATTTGAATTAGCTATCCTTACTCATGTTCACATGGAGCTAATGGGAAGTAATTTAACGAGCAGTGAATTCATTCGAATTAAACATTTGAATAAACTCTCAGTGTGAACATTGAGCATGGATGCACCAAATGTCAAATGCGGCTTGACAAGCACAATCTAAATTAAAACTAAATAAGTATCTGCCCTCACCCTTACAGTCACACTGTCAATATATAATTAGTTGAATATATTCTGTAACATTAAGTGCAGTTTGAATTATAGAGTATGATCACTATGTTAGATAGTAGGAGTGGACTGTTGAAATTACATCCTCAAATTTAAAAAAAAAAAAATATAAAGCTGTGGGGATTTACAAGGCAAACAGAGAGCGTCTGAACTGTAAAACAGATAATATATCGGTGTGTCTGTGTATTTCTAACAACATCAATGTACAGTCAATGGAAAAAAGTATTCGTCATTTTAATTGGCGTTGCGTTAATCGCGATGACTCTCTCGGCTATTATTCACTCGCGCTATTTATAGAACAAACGAAATAGAATGAATCTTTCAATAAAGAGACTGGAGAAATTACGTCACGATTTTGTGACGTCATTTTGTCACTTGTGTGTCTGTAAACACTGGAAAACATCACTCGAAAACATGGGGCGAAAATCAGTTGAGTTGAGCACTGAGGTAAAAGAAATGATCGTAAAATCTGCAAACCACACTCCAAATAAAGCAGAACTGGCGAGAATGTTTGGTATACCAAGGTCAACAATCGTGAGTGTTTTGAATAAATTTGACAGACTGGGTACTGTAGAAAACTTGCCGAGATCTGGCCGTCGACTTTTGTTTACAACTCGGGACAAGACGAAGTTGAGTCGCCTCGCTAAAGCAAACAGAAGGGACACTTTGACAGATTTAACAAACAAACTGAACGAAGGAAGAGGAAGACAATTAAGTGAGAAAACAGTATTTAGAAAATTACGTGAAGAAGGGTACAAAAGGAAACGTGCAAGGAAGACTATGGTGGTTCGATGTGTGAACAGAAAACCAGAAGTCTCTGTCGAGACTGTAGCTCTACTGGTTTATACTTAAAACAAAGGAAGAGAAAAGTAGCAGTTGGGACTTGAGACTTTAAATCAGCAATAAATAGAAAAATGATCCTTGCCACTCATCAAGATAAAAACCAATGCACAGAATTATGTATCTTAGTATAGTCTACTTGTGTGCCAAGTTATACTGAAATCAGACCAAAACTGCAGGAGGAGTAGCATTTTGAAAGAATTTCACAGAAATTTCTATTTTTAGTAACCATGGCAACATTGTTCATTGAAATCAAAAACCGATGCACAGAATTATGTATCTTAGTGTAGTCTACTTGTATGCCAAGTTATATCAAAATCAGACCAAAACTGTAGGAGGAGTAGCATTTTGAAAGAATTTCACAGAAATTTCTATTTTTAGTAACCACGGCAACACCGTTTATCGAAATCAAAAACCGATGCACAGAATTATGTATCTTAGTGTAGTCTACTTGTGTGCCAAGTTATACTGAAATCGGACCAAATCTGTAGGAGGAGTAGCATTTTGAAAGAATTTCAAAGAAATTTCTATTTTTAGTAACCAAGGCAACACCGTTCATCGAAATCAAAAACCGATGCACAGAATTATGTATCCTAGTGTAGTCTACTTGTGTGCCAAGTTATAATGAAATTGGACCAAAACTGTAGGAGGAGTAGCATTTTGAAAGAATTTCAAAGAAATTTCTATTTTTAGTAACCACGGCAACACTGTTCATCGAAATCAAAAACCGATGCACAGAATTATGTATCTTAGTGTAGTCTACTTGCGTGCCAAGTTATACTGAAATCGGACCAAATCTGTAGGAGGAGTAGCATTTTGAAAGAATTTCAAAGAAATTTCTATTTTTAGTAACCACGGCAACACCGTTCATCGAAATCAAAAACCGATGCACAGAATTATGTATCTTAGTGTAGTCTACTTGTGTGCGAAGTAATATTGAAATTGGACCAAAACTGTAGGAGGAGTAGCATTTTGAAAGAATTTCAAAGAAATTTCTATTTTTAGTAACCACGGCAACACCGTTCATCGAAATCAAAAACCGATGCAAAGAATTATGTATCTTAGTGTAGTCTACTTTTGTGCCAAGTTATATTGAAATCAGACCAAAACTGTAGGAGGAGTAGCATTTTGAAAGAATTTCACAGAAATTTCTATTTTTAGTAACCACGGCAACACCGTTCATCGAAATCAAAAACCGATGCACAAAATTATGTATCTTAGTGTAGTCTACTTTTGTGCCAAGTTATATTGAAATCGGACCAAAACTGTAGGAGGAGTAGCATTTTGAAAAATTGTTTACAGACAGACAGACAGACAGACAGACAGACAGACAGACAGACAGACGGACAGACAGACAGACGGACGGACGACGGACGCATTACTATCGCATAAGCTCTTCTGGTCTCTGACCAGTAGAGCTAAAAACGGGTAAAATGGTGTCAAGAACGAAAAAACTGGAAAAGTGATAATGAATGGAAAAAATATATATTTTCCGATGAAAGTCAGATTGTTATCGGGACAGATAACCGTGTGTATGTGTGGAGAAAGGACGCCGAAGCGAACAGTCCCCATTTGATTTGTCCGCCATCGAAAAGGAGGGTAACACTTATGATCTGGGGATGCATGTGTTTTGATGGTATGGGAACTATTGTACCTGTCGAAGGTAATATAAATGCACTAAAATACTTGGAAATAGTTGACAATAATTTATGGCCTGTAATTGCCAGACATTTCCCGAACAAAGACTATGTTTTCCAAGATGATAATGCTCCCGTACATAGGGCTCTCGTAGTGAAAAACTATATGACCGAAAATAATATTAACTGCACAGATTGGCCAGCTCAGTCTCCAGATTTAAATGTGATTGAAAACATTTGGTTAAAGATCAAAAGAGAGCTTAAAGGCATGTCCGCAACTATTGAAAGTCGCGATCAGCTGTTTCAGGCAATCAGACAAGTGTGGGAAAACATCCCCTTGGAATACGTCCACAGCCTCTACGCATCCATTCCAGATCAGATTAAAGAAGTAATACGTATGAAAGGAAATCTGACCAAATATTAGGTAAGTGACTTTAATTTTAAGTATACAAATCTACGTTTAAAACTCTCGTTGTGAACGTAAACAACGCGACGCCATTTTGAAAATGACGAATACTTTTGTCCATTGACTGTACGTCACTGTCATGTAATCAGTAGTGTAAATTTTAAGTAATAAAAATATTCTAACCTTCATTCCAATGGTCCAAGCCAATCATACATTAAAATGTCGCCGTCAGCTCTTTCATCACTCGATACAATTATCACTGGGGAATCCGAAGCAGAGTCAAGAGTGTTCATCCTTGTTAATGTGACAGTCAGAATTTCCTCGTAAACAATTCACACAAGATTATTAGAATATATGAATCGGGATAATTCTGCTTAGAATAATGTTCCAGAGAAGTGACGAAGTACTTCGTAGCTGCAGATTAAATGAGTGTGAATGTATACAAACGGATTCTTTGTGAGAAAATGTTCAACTTCACAAATCATTCTATTTTCAGTTTGTAAACCATGGCAAACATGTGTCCGACGTCGACTCGAAGGGGCACACTAAAAACGGGATATACTAGAGACCTGATATTTACCTGACGTTTTAATTTTTAATTAAATGGTAATATTGAGTATTTTAAATTACTTATGTACAGACTTTATGACTTCGAGGCATATGCTATACAAAAATTCAATTGTTTGTAACATTTACAGACAAATTTGAATCAGGTCAAAGTAGTGTTTAGTACATCGCGTCTTTAGTACCTTCCTATTTCCCACAATGCCGCGCGTTGTTTACAAACAAGCGCGAAAAAATCCTCTAAACTAGGTACTAATTATTGTTGTGTACATCATCACATTTTAAAATTATTTGAATAAAAATAAACAAAGAAGCACCGAATCAAAACTATATCTTTTAGATGCATCAACTAAAAATGTGCACATGTATGCAGTAAAGGCTTGGCTGGCTATAGTAGACAACTTGTTCCTGAAAGGTTTCTCACATACATGTACTTGTTTTATATAAAAAACAATTAAATATAGCTGGAAGTTTATTTCTTTTTATATCAAATGACAAGATTTTATAAGTTCGAAATTATTTCAGTCAAACTTTTTCATAATATACCAATATTTTTAGCTATCAGAAAAAAGCGTGTATGAGCTATTAACCCCTAATTATAGGGGCCAGCCCCTTTTCGTTAATCAAATATGAAAGCTCTCGTAATTACCCACAACTTTTGTAATATATTTCTTACCAAATTATTCTCGGTTTAAAAGTTATTACACAAAAAGTAGCAAAAATTCAAAGAAAAAAAATTAATAAAATTTGCCGTTTTATAGCTTCCAAACTTTAAGAAATCAGCTATATAATTTTATCGTTGTGCACATCTACAATGTATTGGCTACAAGTTCTCCAACTTTCGTGTAAATATCTTATGTCATTTTTGAGATTTTCAGTGGAAACGAGACATCAAAAATTTTCAATTAAAGGGCAATAACTCACAAATAAAGGCATGCATCAAAAAACTGAAAACAGGTTTAAATAGGTTTAACTGCAAGCTATCTATCCTGAAAATTTCATAACGATCAGTCCAAAGGTCTTTGAGAAATCGCCTGTCAAAAATCGAGCGGGAAAAAAAAAGAATAATAAGAAACAATAGAATAACAGTAGGGTCTTCCGAAGGAAGCGGAAGACCCTAATAAGAAACAATAGAATAACAGTAGGGTCTTCCGAAGGAAGCGGAAGACCCTAATAATAAAATTGAAAAAGAAACCGAAGAATAATAGAAGGGTCTTCCGCTGAAGACGGAAGACCCTAATAAAGAAAATGCCTGAATGAAGCTACCTGCGCAGGAGTTATTGCCCTTGTCAACATTTTTTAAAGATTGAATAATTGATTAAATATAGGAAATATGCATTTTTAAAATTCTTTTACTTAAGAATATTAATCCTTACAACTATGGAAAATCATTCTTCCAAAATATATTGTTCTATTGGGTATGAATTTAATAAAATAATAGTTTTTGCAAAAACCTATAACCGCTGGCACATTTAACGAATGTTCTCTCTTGGGCATTTGTGAGAAAATAGGGCACCTATCTGATTGAAATAGCGTTATATGTTTTTTTTCCTTCGTCAGAATTCTACAAAATGCTGTGACGCTTAAATATTTCATATCTTGACAATGTCTTTCCACGTAAATATAGAATTTCCAAATTTCATGTGGTACATAAAGTCGATATTTTTTGGTGTCCCCTCAAATTTTAATTGACTACATTGACTGTTATATTTGAACTCTCGTTTTTTTTCATCTAAATTATTGAATCCATCTGAAAAGTAAAGCGTTAAAAATAATTTTTATACATATAAAATCATATCTTAAATATGAGGTTTTCGTCGATTTATGTAAAAAGTACAATTTTCAAATACGCTATTATTTTCATCTTCGTGGCAGAGATCATTTATAAAGATATAAAGCTTAGTGTAGTGACCATGCTTACTTTAGAAATGATTTTTTTTTTGCGAAGTCAATATGAAAATTCGTGGGATATTCTGTGTCTAGCTAGGAGCTCTTTAATAGAACTTTACAAATATGAAAAAATAAAACATTTATTATGATATACTGAGTATTGCATTACTTATTGAACAACCCTCGTAGTTCTGATATAAACAAAAAAGAAGTTAATTATCTATATTTTTTATTCTTTCATTCATATTGTATAAACGAACACAATAGAGGAAATTAAATATAAACTTACTGAAATCAAAAATACATGTGGAAATTCAATAAATTTACAACGAAGACAAAGACGAAGCTGCAAACATTACTATTTCTAGAATACAAAAGAAAATGTTTTACCGTCTAAATCTCTTTTTTATGTTGTATACGTATCCAACAACTCCGTAATATTTGCATTGAAAGGTTTGATTTTCCGAACATCGATGCACGTACATTGTATATGTTGCATGCAAATCCAGTATCCATAAGTTTAAACAAAATCACCATTTTACTTTGCAGTTACATTACAGTTTATTTGATAGCATTTTTATACAGTCTTGTCGAAATGTACGAGATGTTTTAGATGCTTGTTAATTTGCGTTTAAACTTTTTAAAAAAAAATTTCATCTTTACTCTACTTTTCCATCTGTGTTAATTCTAATCTATATGTTCTGCATTAATTTTGCTTTGTATTATAAACTTTCCGATCTGTGCTCTGCATTTTTCCATTTGTTTGGTATTAGGTTTTTTTAATTTCTATTGTATTTTTGGCATTCTAAAATTTTCAATATATGTATATTTAATCTGAAAGTTTCCTTGTACCTTGTAATGCATTATTCTCCATGACATACGTATGTGGAGATAACGAAATGTATTCAAGCTCAAAAGTCCATTTAACATTACAAAATAGGAGCAGAGCGAATCAGGTGCAATGGAGGAGTTTGCATCCCGTTTCAACCGGTCACATCCGCCATGTGCTCCTGTTATGATCTGGAAATGACGGAAAAATCCGTCGTCAAGTCATTGTGTAAGTAATGGACTAACAATTATTATGAAAAACGTCAGTCAGCATTTGACTCAATGATAAATTGTATTTGCTGACAAGGTCATTGTATCAACCATAGAACTTACGAAATGATGACTTTAAACGAGCCTGTTGATAGTCTTAGTTTCATCAACTAGTTTGTCAATAATTTACCTCGTTTTAGAAATTGTTCATTCGTTGAGCATGCTCTTGCATATCGAATCAATTGAGATATATAAACTCCGTATGCAGGTGATGAAGATATATTGCTATGCATAAGTAAGGGAAGTTGACGATTGAAAAGTTAAAGTCATCACGATTATCATAGAGCGTGGTTGTTAGATTTCTATTAACGTCTTTTTTAAGTAAAATATCTAAATATGAAACAGATATTGTGTGTCAGACTCTAAGGTATCTTTAACCTCAAGCTCATCAGGATATGTCTCATCGACATAAGAATGGAAATTAACTTTGTTAATTGAAAATACGTTGTCGATGTATCTATATGTAGAGCTGAAGGCCACAGCAAGTGTTTTCTTCTTTTTACTCAGAAAAGATTGCACAACATTTACTTCATATAAAAAAAAGAGGATGGCTAATAACGAGGCGCAATCGGTACACATTGGTATTCCAACAGATTGTTGGAAGACCTGGTCTCCAAAAACAACATACTGTAGATATTGTCAATCAGAAACTCAAGCATGTAAGTGAAATATATCACAATATCATACTGTGCGATAGAAATACTATTATCGATTGTATGCATTTTGTTGCATTTAATATGGAAAGAAAATTTACCAAGAAGCATTATCATCAAAAACATTATCTTTCATTTTTATTTTTTTACTGGAGGAGGGGGGTTATCAGTAATAAGTGCGATCATTCATTCATTCATATTTTATGTCCTCTCTATAAAGAAATACAGAATTAAGTTATTAATAATTGACACATTAATTCATGTACAATTCAAATAGTATTTTCAAGCAGGTAAAAACGATAGGATTCATAAAGTACCATACAATATGTCCCATTTTTTCAATGAAGTAGACTGACTTCGAATTTTGTTGTTACCAACCTAGTTAATTTTTTCACTAAAAAGGATGCTGATTTATGCAATTTTTACCATCGCTTAATTTCGAAAAGAAAATGGTGAGAAAGAGTTGTCTAGCTTTTCCTGCTATTTCTCCTTAATGTTCTTCCTGAATACAGTTCAGTTTCAACTGATTATCATCAGTTAACCAGCTTGCATATAAGATTGAAGAAGAAAGCAAAGGATACATTTAATCATGCATTAAAAATACTAGTGGATTCAAATTCTTACAGTACAACAAGTGATTTATTTCAATGGATGTATATTTCAAAATGTTCTCAGAGTTCCCTCGCTTTAACCCATTTCTCAGATTTTTAAAAAGTTTACTTATCGTTTAGATTATTGGCATTCATTCTTTCTTTATTTCCTCCGAATCGGAGATTCCATATAACATGACAACATATATGAACAGAGAAACATATTTACAACATTGTAAGTGAAAATCAGTTAGATGAAAAACAACAAAAGATAGCTATAAATAATAATAGTAGATAAATAATTCGCGTGACATTGAAAGTTATGAGGAAGTAAGATTAGGGGGAAAAAAACCACAAACACATATAGACCAGATTACATTGATTGCATTACTCTGTAGAAATGGGCTGCTGCGTCCCTAATGAATTTAAAGTTAAGTATGTGAAGATCAGGGTTGTCGAAAACGACGCTTCCAGTTGCGGAGATTCGAGATCCAAGGAGAAACAAGTAAAGATCTTGCTGGGAAAGTCCAGAGAGTTCGGCGCCAAGATTAATACTGAAGTCTTCGATGATTGTCTCCCACCAGGCATCTCTGTATGAAGATGTTCCAGAGCATGAAGTGGACAGATGTTCGAAAACATTCGTAAACGTTCTTTTACAAATAGGACAACATTCTTCAGGTATATTCAAAAGGGTCCAGAGTTTAGCGATAAATTTACATAACTGAACTTCGTAGATATTTGAAGGGATAGACCAGAGGGTTTTGGGCGATTTTCCAGAGCACACAATATTGAATTGCAAGAAATCAGAGTCATTATTCATCCGCTCCTGTCGAGATGATGAAACGTGAGCAAGAACAGAGGTTTTGACAGTTCTTTTCCATTCGGATTTTGAAGGGAAAGAGCCTTCACACAAGTACTTTTTAAGGAAGTGACAGAGGTTGTATTTGGACAGAATTGAGATTATATCCGGAATGAATCCATAACACACGATATTGTTGTTTTGTAGGAAGTCAAAAAGGCGATTCAGGAATAACTGTTTTGTGAGAAAACTGGGGTCTAGTTCGCAAAGACGGCCAAAGAATTGAAGTTTTTTTATGTCAATTTCTGCGGATATTGGGATAAGACCAAGAAGACTCTCACACATGTCGGATCTTGTTTGTTTAGGCAGAGACATGGTGTGTTTACAAACGAAATGCTGAAACGTGCTGAGAAGTTTAATATCTTTTTGCCGGAGATCACACCAAAGTTCACTTCCATATAAGACGGCAGGGAGCACCACCTTCTTGTACAAGTTAGCAACAGTAATGGGATTTAAGTGTTCGCACGCCTTCAGAGCAAAATATGCTTGGCGTCCTTTCCTACAGGCATTGTGGGTTCTCTCGCTCGGATTCATCTTACAGTGTAGGAAGATCCCAAGATGGTTGTAGGTCTCCGATAGGTGAACAGGTTCTTCACCTAATCTCCAAGACAGAGAGGTACTAAGGCGGTTTCCGGCTCGGTTAAAGAGGAGAACACTTGACTTGCTGGCATTAAATTTGAATCGCCATCGCGTGGAATAACTGTACGCAGTGTCGAGCATATTCTGTAGTCCTACAGGGGAGAGAGCTATACAGGAAATGTCGTCAGCAAGAGTAGGGTTTGAACTGGCGATACTATATATCCCGGTGTTGTGACCTGTTCGTTGGAGTTCATTAAGTAGATCGTTGTTGAACACCAAGTACAAGAAAGTGGAGAGCACCCCTCCCTGTCGTACACCTTGGGTAACGGGAAACCATTCGGAGTTCGTTTGGTTTACGGCTACAGAGCAGGATGTGTCGGTGTGGCAGTCATCGATGAGAGACCATAAGTGGCCAGATATACCAAGCTGATGCAATTTAAACATTAGACCATGTCTCCAGACAGTGTCAAAGGCCTTCTGGGTGTCGAGAAAGGCAACAAAAA